CTCTGGGACCTCAATCATGAAGGGACTTGGGAAGGAAAGGGAACCTACGTGTATTACACCGATTTTGTCATGGAGCTCACTCTCTTGTCCTTGGACCTCATGCACCACATCCACATGCTGGTGAGTCCCCCAGGAAGAGGGCTGACAGAGAGAGGGTCGAGGGGTTCAAGACACGAACCCTGGTTTGTACATTAAAGAAACGAAATGTTCAGTAAAAATACTCAAGTAAAAGACTTGAGTATCATTGGGCAGCCTTCGTCTTTGGTGGCTGGGTGCAGAACACTGCTCTGCACTGCTTTGGTTGGTTTGGCTCAGGAGGTTTGCTGTGCCAGGGGACTTGGTTAACTCTGCTGACAGTCAGGTGAGCTTTCTTTGAGCACGATAAAAGGGGTTTTTCCTTTAGTGTCTGTGTTTTTTTCTACTGAACAGTTTCTCTCTAGTGGTACTGGCCTTTACCTCCTTATAGGTTTTTTTTTTTTTAACCTTTGTAATGAAAAACAAATGCTTGTACTTAATATCTACTGCTTTAAGTTGGTGTGTCAGAAATGTCAGTGTTGAAGCAGGGCCAGTCTTACCCATCTGTAATTCCAGCACTTGTGAGGCAGAGGCAGGAGAATCATCAGGTTGGGACAGCCCTTGGTACATACCGAGACCCTGTCTCAAACCCCAAGGACTCTGTGGATGTAGCTGAGGTGGAACACCCGCCTAGCATATTCAGTGCCCTGGGTTCGTGGTTCCCAGCACCACAGAAGGGAAATATAAGCCTTCTTGACAGGTGAACATTTTTTAAAAAAATCTACTAGTGTGCTGGAGAGATGGCTCAGTGGTTAAGAGCACTGACTGTTCTTCCAGAGGACCTGGGTTCAATACCCAGCACTCACAACTGTCTGTAACTCCATTTCCATGGGGATCTGACACCTTCAGACATACAAATGTGCACATACAAAAAAAAAATCTAACTAATGATGGTGAGACCCAGTGTTGTCATGGGGACTTATTTATAAACTCGTCACAGTAACATTCAAGTCACTGGCAGAGTGGAGAGTGCACATTTATAAGTTAAAGGGCCAGTGAAATGGGCTCAGAAGGTAAAGGTGGGTGCCTCATGACAAGCCTGACAACATAGAGCTTGAGCCCCAGGACCCACATGGTGGAAGAAGTGAACCAGCTCCGCAAGCATTGCTCTGACCTCCAGAAATGGTCACTTTCTGGTTTTGTTGTTGCTTTGTTTTGTTTTAAGAGTCAGGGTTTCTCTCTGTAGCGTTGGTGCCTGTTCTGAACCTAGGTCTCGTAGACTGGGCTGGCCTCTGTCTCCCGAGTGTTGGGACTAAAGGTGTGTCATCACAACCACCCGGCCTAGGGTCACTTTCTGAAAAGAAAACAACACTTCGTATTTTTTAATTTTATAAATTTTATTATAAAAAACTTGCAAATAAACATTATGCATCGAGTTAAACAGATCCAAAGTCTATACAATGTAATGAAGTTATATACATTTAGAATTGACATTTGAAGTAGAAGCTTCACATTTTGTTGTATTTCTCTGCTTTTGTTTAAAAAAAAGCTTTGTTACATTTAGAGTGTGTGTGTCTGTGTGTACATGCACATGTATGTGTGCATGTGTGTTCTAACGATAGTGTATGTGTGGAGGTCAGAGCACTGCTTGTGGAGTTGGTTCCTTTCTTCCACCATGTGGGTCCTGGAGATCAAGCTCATGGTGTCTCGCTTGTCAGGAGACACCCACCTTTACTTCTCAGCCCACTTCACTGGCCCTTTAATTGATTCTTACGTATTTAAATACATAGCTTCATAAATTGAGTCCTTTTTGGACATACAGTGTTTGCATGTGTTTGCTTATGCAGTACTGGGTTTCAAACCCAGGGACTCATGCATGTCAAATAAGCATCTGCTTCTGAGCTACATTTCCCGCTAATTTTTTAAAATTACTATGTTATAAACATTGCCTCTGCTAGCAACATTTCTTCTAAACCATCCAAATATCTTCAGGATAAAACACTTAATCACATAGCTACACCATGATTTAATTATGTACACCCTGAAATGGGCTATTTAGATTATATTTGTTAGTTTGCTATTTCAGGATATTATATAATTAGAAAAAATCATGTTAGTATATTTAAGGTAGTGAAACTGTTACCTAGATGTGGGAATAACCAGGCTAGCTTAAAGATAGACAAATATATTTTATTTATTATAAGGGGAAAACTCATGCCACAGGCATGGAAGATACAGGCTCTGCTTGACCAAGGGGGAAACTACACAGAGAGTGCACCTGGGTGGTGCACAGGTTTTTTATCTCCTGGTCCCAGAAAGCCACACCTAAACTAGGTTCCACCCCTTACAGATTATTGGTTAACAAGGCTTTCCCCATCACTTTTTCCTGCCTTTTTAATCAAAAATGCTATTAGTAAATTAACAAACACTCAAACCTACTTTGTATAAAATAGGACATTAAAATATATTTATAAATTAGCCGGGCAATGGTGGCACACGCCTTTAATCCCAGCACTCGGGAGGCAGAGGCAGGCGGATCTCTGTGAGTTGGAGGGCAGTGTGGTCTACAGAGTGAGTTCCAGGACAGGCTCCAAAGCGACAGAGAAACCCTGTCTCAAAAGACCAA